GGGGGGGGTGGCCTAAAGACATTTCAGTCAGTAGCACTGCCCTGTGATTTGTCCCAGAAAATGTAACTCACCTTCAGACGCGTCTGCGACTCCAGATCCTTGCCGTTCCTCAAGGTCTTCCACTGCTCGGGCGTCAAGGAGCTCAGAGTCGTTCTCTCCTGCTCTGTTAAGGGCGTCAATTGCTTCAAGCGCGCAGCAACTTCCTGCTCGTTGATTGCACATGCCTCCATGAGCTGGGCCATTCCGCCTGCCAGAGAGAAATACACACGCTTTGTTAACTCCAAGAAACACACACACACACACACACACACACACACACACACACACACACACACACACACACACATGTGATACAAGAAACACCGACACACACACACGTGTCAACTTCAAGAAATAAACACATGTTAATATCACACAAAACACACAAAATTCTATCTTTAATTTGTGTTTCCTTCGAACAAGACGTTTGAAACACATACGTGTCACCTACACACAAAAACAGCTACATTCTATCATTTATGTTCCCTTTCAGCAAGACATATAATATAAACCCGTATTAAGAAAAGAAACATCTGCCACTATGAATTTATTCTTTAAAAAAAAGATTTTGAGAATATTTTTTTAAAAGTGTTTTTTGACAGCTTACGGGTGTACAGAGTACGGACTTACCCAAGATGTTCACTCTGTCTTCATGTGAGAGAGTTTCTCCAGGAAACTGTTTCTTCACTCCCTCTTTCTTCAGAACACCGTCCAGCGTCTGTGGACCAAACAACGCTCACAGTCACATATCATATTTTATTGGCTACACATATAAGTTTAGTTTTAGATTTAGTAGAGGTTTTACGGCGCTCGCTACTGCATAAGGTCATATGAGTGCCAGAAGATTAGAGGTTTTACAAGAGAGTAACAAACATAAAAAAGAAGAAGGGGAGATAAGGACGATAGATGTTTGATAGCAAAAAAGAAGCAAACCACACCAGAGCACCCGCCAACCATCCGCTACGCATAAGTAAAGATCACACAGGAAAGGGTACCGTACTTAAGGGTGTGTAGAGAAGAAAAAAAGGCGAGCCGTCCAAAGAGCAATAACTTTGGTCGTCTTCTTTTTTTTTGGTAAGATTTTTACAGCACTTGCAACACTATAAAGTCATATGGTCGCTTTGGTCGCTTTCAAGCACAAGTGGGCTAACCCAGATTTCGGGGGTTTCCAGAAATCTTGACCTACACCAAAAAGTGGGCATTGCCCTACCTATAGTAGAAGTTTGGTTTCATTGGTGTGTATATACGTTTGGTTACAGAGAAAACTCTCCTTGTTTTTTCAAAGGAACTGAACAAGGGGCAAAAATTTTACCTTTGATTTTCTCAAAACAGCATTTTTCGGGATAGCCCCCTTGTGCTTAAAAGCGACCTTTTTATTGGCTACACATAAGTCAAGATCAGACAAGATAGGGTACCGTACTGCAGGGTGTGTGGAGAAGAAAAAAGACGAGCCATCTAAGGAGCAATAACTTTGGTCGTCTTCTTTTTTCTTCTCGTAAGATTTTTACGGCACTTGTAACACAATAAGGTCATACAAGTGACGAAGATTAGAGGAGTTAATACAAGTGACGAAGATTAGAGGAGTTACTAGAGAGTAACAAACATAAAACAGAAGGAGGGGAGATAAGGACGATGATAGATATTTGATAGGAAATAAGAAGCAAACCACACCAGAGCACCCACCAACCCCCCACTTACCTTCTCCAACTCGCTAAACTCCGAGCATTTGGTAGCAAACAGCATGGTGGCTACTTTGTACTGAAAAGTTGGTGGTAAACTGGGGAAAGAAGAAATGTGGGGAAAATATCAAATAAGCAGTCAGCACAGGTTCTCAAAGTCGAGGAACATAAAATTCTCTTCTGGCATTACAAAACAAAACAAAAACATGTTTTTTTACCCAAATTTTTCCTGTTCCTCGCAAAAGCATTTTTTTTTCTCTGATCCATACAAAAACAATTCTTTTTTGTTACCCCTATTTTCCTGGACCTAAACAAAAATCCTTTTTTATCCCAATTTTTCTCTGATCTATTTTTTTTTTTTTACCCAAATTTTCTGCGATCAATACAAAAACATTTTTTTTTAAACCCAAATTTTCCCAGATCTATTTTTTACAAATTTAACCCAAGTTTTCCCTGATATATTTGTTTTAAAAACTTTTTTTTAAAACCCAAATTTTCCCTGATCCATACAAAAACAATAGTTTTTTTAAAAACCACATTTTCCCTGATCTATAAAAAAAAACAATTTTTTTAAACCCAAATTTTCCCTGATCCATACAAAAACTTAATAGCTCTAACTGCCAACTCAGTTTAGTTTTATTAATTTAAGAGTTTTACGGCACTTGCAACACAATAAAGTCATATAAGTGCCGAAGATTAGAGGTGTTACAAGAGAGTAACAAACACATAAAATAAGAAGGGGAGATAAGGATGATAGATGTTTGATAGGACAGAAGGAGCAAGCCACACCAGAGCACCCTCCAACCACCCACTTTATGTCACTTCGGCCAACTGTCCTAGACAATTATCTGCTTTAACGGCCACCTGTATAAGACAATCACCAGTTCTAAAGGCCACCTGTATAAGACAATCACCAGTTCTAAAGGCCACCTGTATAAGACAATCATCTGCTCTAACGACCACCTGTATAACACAAGCATTTGTACAAACTTCCACTTTCAAATTTCCAACAAAAAAAATAACTTCCACTTTCAAATTTCCAACAAAAAAAATATATAAATTTTTAATGTTTGCTCCTCTGCAATGGGTGTGCATTTTGGGTAAGTTCGAGTCGAGTGTACTCACCTGGGTTCCTTCTTCTTCCCCCTTGTCTCTGTCTGTGTTGCGGTGCTCGCTTCGTTAGATGATTCATCTGGACTCCAATTCAAGTCTTTCGAGTTTTCACTTACGGACAGCTCCTCCTCCTCCTCCTCCTCCTCATGAGTCTCCATCAGAGCAGCCTCCACCTTACATTTCTTCCCGCCAACCTTCTTCAAAGACGTCTTCTGTCTGGTGGCTTTCCTTTTCTTTGCAGCTCGGGCAGAAACTGTCTCAACATATTCTTCATCATCACTTTCCTCCTCATCGTCGCGGCTCTCTGCGTCTTCCAAAGGCTGTGGCCGTCCGTTCAGCTTGGGGGCAGATTTGGTGGATCGCTTCACCTGGCGTTTCGGCTTCTTGCTTTCTTGGGGGCTGGCACTCCCAGCAGTTTCCGAGCTCGTTGATCCGCCGTCGATGGACTGTCTTTTGGCTCCTCTGGCTAGCTTGGCCGAGGTTTCATTCTTCGATGCTGGGGCTTTCGATCCTGAAACGTGATTGGCTACAATAAGACAACAGGCGAGGGATTTTAGTTTAGTTCTAGTAGAGGTTTTTAGTTTTAGTTTCAGCAAAGGTTTTACGGCGCTCGCAACTGCATAAGGTCATATAAGCGCCAGAAGATTAGAGGTGTTACAAGAGAGTAACAAACATTAAAAAGAAGAAGGGGGAGATAAGGACGATAGATGTTTGATAGGAAAGAAGGAGCAAACCTCTTTTAGTTTTAGTAGAGGTTTTTTGGCGCTCGCAACTGCATAAGGTCACATGAGCGCCAGAAGATTAGAGGTGTTACAAGAGATTAACAAACATAAAAGAGAAGGAGGGGAGATAGAGACGATAGATGTTTGATAGGAAAGAAGGAGCAAACCACACAAGAGCACCCGCCAACCATCCACGCAAACCTCTTTGTTCATGGCTGTTGGTACAGAGATAAATGTGTCACAACAGGGAGGAATCAGGCGCTCTGTCAATTTTTGGGCATTGCTATCATCATAAAGTGTGTGCATTCATCTTTTGATGAAGAAAAAAACATTCCATTTAACTTGAATAAAAGTCGGGATGTTTGTGATTGAAGGAGGTGGGGTCACCTCATTTCAGTGGTAAAATTAGCAAGAAAACGACTGCCAAAATTTGGTGACATCCAAAGTGTGGGAGTCATTGGAAACTGAAAACACACATTTTTTGTGACTTTAACATTTATCAGAAAAAAATAACAACACCGAAATGTGTTTTTAAATGGAGATAAAAGGTCTGTTGAGTCAAAAATAAAAAATTCGGTAAAAATAGCCAAATCATTGGAAAAATGCTGATATTTTGGATATGATTATTTTGACGAGCGTCTGATTCCACCAACCTGCCTCACTTATAGGCTATATATTAATATCATACAGTTTTTTATTCAACTTCCTGTAAGCAGCAGTTATAGTCCATATTGGATATGATTATTTTGACGAGCGTCTGATTCCACCAACCTGCCTCACTTATAGGCTATATATTAATATCATACAGTTTTTTATTCAACTTCCTGTAAGCAGCAGTTATAGTCCATATTGGACCAACAGTCTTGTCCTTTTCAATTACACCCCCCCCCCACCCAGCCCCCTCCCCCAAGTTTGGTCTTGGTCTAGAGTTTAACACCCGATATATTTGTACCGATTTACCACACCCGACATATTTGTACCAATTTACAACACCTGATACATTTGTACCAATTTACCACACCCGACATATTTGTACCAATTTACAACACCAGACATATTTGTACCAATTTACAAGACTTGATACATTTGAACTTATTTACCACACCCGACATATTTGTACCGATTTACCACACCCAACATATGTCACAAAGGCGGTGGAACCAGGCTCTCGTCAATTTTGGGGCATATGGAGTTATTGGTATCATCTTAGAGCTTGTCCATTTGCCTTGCTTTTGATGAAAACAATATCTATTTATCTTTGATAGAAGTCAAGATATTGGTGATTGAAGGAGGTTGGGATCGCCTGGTTTCAGAGGTAAAATTAACGAGAAAATGGACGCCAAAGTTGAGTTATTTCCTAAACTTCAGAGGCCATCTAAACTAAAAATGTACATCTCTTTTGCCTTAAATCAACGTTTTTCAGCACAATCCACACAGAAATGTGTTCTTTAAAGGGTGTGAAAGGTGTTGAGACAAAAAACTAAAATTCTATTAAAATTCTTAAACCTGCAGACAAATGCCAATTTCTTCACTTTGACTATTTTGACGAGTGCCTGATTTCACCACGCTGCCTCACATATTTGTACCAATTTACTACACCCGATACATTTTTACAAATTTTCCACACCCGACATATTTGTACCAATTTACCACACCCGACATATTTTTACCAATTCCCAACACCGAGCGTTTGTGACAAATTCACAACACATTTGTACAATCAGCAACACCTGCCATATTTTTAAAAAATTTACAACAAATTTGTACCAACTCTTGACCTGGACATTAAGTAAAACCTATGACAGCAAAATCACTGCATGCAAAATGAAATGTCCCTGCAAAACTCTTTAACATCACAGGGCGAGACAGGCAGAGAAATGAAGAAGTAAGAGCAGCTATTGGCACTGAGTCCTGCCTGCGTTACATAGAAAAACAGAATAAAATGGTCTGGCCACTTGTTACGTATGTCATCTGGCCAGCCCGCCTCGAGAACCTACTACATCAAGCACTCAGGCTATAAAGGAAGAGGAGGGCCAAGCAAAAGGTGGATCAAGGATGTCATAGAAACTCTGAGAAAACATAATATTCAAAATTGAAAGAGCTGCGGAACTGGCCTACCATAGAAAACTGCATCTCCCCATGACACTTAACGACAACAGAGGATGAAAAAGTTTAAAGTTTAAAGTTTTAGTAAGAGTTTTACGGCACTTGCAACACAATAAGGTCGTATAAGTGCCGAAGACTAGAGTTGTTACAAGAGAGCAACAAACACAAAATAGAAGGAAGGGAGATAAAGACGATAGATGTTTGATAGGAAAAAGGGAGCAAACCACATCAGAACATCCGCCAACCACCCACAAAAGTAAAAAGTAAAGTAGGTTGTACCAACTCTTACATAATCAGTGTTAGGGTTCAACACTTGGCTACATACCTGTCTTTTTCTCACGCCACATTTGATTTCTTGTGAGAAAATCTTCTTGGTCCTCTGAAAGTAGGAAAGAAAGAAAGAAAGAAAACATGATGTGCTTTCACAAGTGAACACTTTTTTCCAAACCTGTGGTAAGGGTGGCTCTTTCACAGACAGTGTATTTACTAAAGAAGACAAGTTTTTTTAATAGTTTTTTAGTTTTAGTAAGTGTTTTACGGCACTTGCAACACAATAAGGTCGTAAAAGTGCCGAAGACTAGAGGTGTTACAAGCGAGTAACAAACACAAAAAAGAAGGAGGGGAGATAAAGACGATAGATGTTCAAATGATAGGAAAGAAGGAGCAAACCACACCAGAGCACCCACCAACCACCCACGAAGACGACAATAGAAGAATATAAAGTTAGACAACTGCCCCTAACGTAGACTGTCCCAGTCAGGTGGTTTTTCTCCCCTTATTTACCAGAAAGGTTGGCAGTGGGTTAGGGAAACGGAAACTTTTTTTAAAAATCGGAATCAGGGATTTTACTATCATATTTTTTGTAAAATTGAATACAAATCATTTGTTAACGATTCCGTCAAATTCAACACGATGGACAGCCCTGAGCACTCTTTGGTAACAGAAATGTGAAAGTGGGGTTTATAGAAAACGGATTTCAGTGAAAAATATATTTTCTTTCCCCCCCTGAAAAATATTACCCCTAGCTACAACCTAACTATCACAGTTAAGTGCACATACAAATGTCATAAGAGCTTTCATCCACAACTTTCTTCCAACAATATACCGGTATCTTCTCCCCCCTAAACTGTCCCAGACACTTGTAACAAAGACAGCGTTCCAAGGAACAAGTACTTCTGACTCAAAGGTCACTAGAAAAGCCCCCCCCCTCCCCCCCCATAATTAAAAATTGGAAACCTTCTCTCCATCATTCATTAACCCCCCTCCCTTCCCCCCTCCCCTCCCTTCCCCCCCCCCCCCCATCCATCAAAAAATAATGCACTGATAAATCGCTACCTCAGAATTACAAAGTTCTATCTGACAATTTGTCCGTTTCTTGAGGTCCAAAACCAAATGTTCTACCTGCTCCATCAAAATTGTGAGATTATTCGGAGTCGTTATCAAGATATTCAAACAATCGTATTTGAAAAAGCTTGACACAATATAATATTATTTTCACACAGTTGTTTTCAATAGGGGAGATAACCCAGTCTAGGATGTGCTGACTTTTATGTGTTGGTACTTGGACGAGTTGTTTTAAATCATTTTCTGTCAGCAGGTTGCTTATATTTTTAGTTACAGGGTTTTCAGAGCCAAAATGAAAATTAAAATCGCCAGTTATAATGAAAGGTGTACTTTTCATCTTCAGAGTTGAAATTAAATTTAGAAATTCCTCCATAAAAACGGATGATTTGATATAATTTGCTTTACTCGGCGGTGGCCTGTATATGCAGCAGATGGTAATGCTTTGGGACTGCAGCTGGAAGGACATTAAAGCAGCCTCACATGAGTGACATGGAATCTTTGTCACAGTAACTTGTGCTAAATTAGTTCTATAAATAAATGCTACTCCTCCTCCTCTACGCCCAACACGAGGGAAAGACTTAATTAAATAACCAACTGGACATATTGCTGATAAAATCGCATCGTCACCGTACTCCTGCAACCATGATTCCGTCATACATAAAATATCAAGGTTCATTTCTATAATTAAATCATTTAACTCGTCTGCTTTATTACGGCATGACCTGGTGTTAAGGCACGCTACTCTCACATTTTGTGCTACTTCTTGCAAAAAGTTCCGACAGTCGATTTTGACCAAATTGTTAAAGTTAATTCTGTTTTTCGGTTTGCTGCTGATGCACGAGTTTTCTAATCTAAGTCATAAACACTAGCCTTAACACCACAGGGATTTTTGTTTATTTAGTATAGGGTTTTACGGCGCTCGCAACTGCATAGGTCATATGAGCGCGCGGGACACACCTAATACTTTTTCGTTGGTAGGAAATTTTGAATTTTGCCCGGGTGGCGGCCGAAGCCTACTCTTATCGATTTTAGACCTCCAAGGGATCTTTAACGTGCGCAACTTGCACACGGGCCCTCCGAGATTTTTCGCCCTTGTCCGAGAAGGCTAGGTGTAGATCTTTCCTACCAGAAGATCAGGGGTGTGGCAGAAAGACAGCAGTTAGGAGGAGCCAAGGAGTAGCAGTAGAAAGGCTGCAGAAAGAGTCAGGAGCCCAGAGGAGGGGGCAAAGGAGGTGAGGGGGGGGGCAGAAAGTGGAAATGAAAGCAGACAACAGAACATTGTTAGAGATCAGGAAAGGATGTGAAAGGAGACAATTTTAGAGAAGAAACATTTTTGGTCGCTACCCGGAATCGAACCCGGGACCTTTGAATGAGAGGCCAACACCTTAACCTCTAGGCCACGAGAGCCCCCCCACAGGGATTGTCCTTTGTTTTCGTCGTCCACCTCTTTTCTTTCTTCTCGTTTTTTTCAACTTCACTGGTATAACACACGAACAAGAGCTGGGAGAAACACACGTACTCACACATTTGTTCCCGAGCACAGAGTTGGAAACGACACGGAGAACAGTTTTCACGAGACACTCAGGAGAAAAAATTTCTTTGTTGTTGTAAACGTTCGAGGGTTGACGGAGTGTAGACCCCAGAAGAAGAAAGAATTCCAATAGAAAAATAGCAAGTCAATCATGGCGAGTTGAAAACTGATAATTTCCTTGAAAATACTGACTGTTTTTGTACAAATCCTACATCACTACATACACTGTCAAATGACGAATACACTGATATAAAAATCCACTATATGAATAATTTTAAAATGCACTAGAAACTGTTACAATCGAGAGAGATTATGGAGCAGCCTGTCAGGCGCTCAACACAAACAGACACTTGGTAAACGTCCAAGCAAAATTTAATCCCCACTAATAGCGTAACTTATTAATAACTCACCCTGGGGCACAGTCGCAGCAAAATTCTTGATGTGGTCAAGGAGGTGAGCCCTCATTGTCTGCCTGGCCAGATCCTCCTTCCGGTACTCCTTGACCTCTCTGTCGCACAGGCGCGGGCAAAATGTGCACCGAAACCTATAGGTGTGTTGTAGGTCGATGCTGTGGTCGATGGCTAAGACCGCCTCAAGCGACGAGCCACTGGTCTCCGCCAGTTTGACTAGGTCGCTTCGGGTTAGCCACTCCTTTTGGAGCAGCCATTTCTGGGGACACCACGGTAGTTTTAGTTTTAGTACGTGTTTTGCGGCACTTGCAAGACAATAAAGTCTCATAAGTGCCAAAGATAGAGGTGTTACAAGAGAGTAACAAACACAAAATAGATGGAGTAGTAACAAACACAAAATAGAAGGAGGGGAGATAAGGACAAGATGTTTGATAGGAAAGAAGGAGCAAACCACACCAGAGCACCCGCCAACTGCCCACTCTCTCAGTCTGTCATAGAGACGACAGCTATAGCCCACCACAAGGAGACCTTTTTCCTGTCAGCCGACAAGACAAGAGCTCTGTCTGACCAAGGTAGGGACCTTTAAAAGTCAACCATCGAGACAACCACCATGCTACAAAGTAGTCATCTTGTCAGATTTATTTGTATTTGAGCACCTAATCAGCAGCTCGCGACCTCAGCACTTTCTTGTCATATCTCCATTAACCTTTTTTTTTTTATAAACATTAAAAATGTGACTTCTTCTTAAGTTCACTCTTTGTTATCAACTGTTTTCGCTGATTTTTTAAAAATAGAGATATGACAAGAAAGCACCGAGGTCGCGAGCTTTTTGCACTGTATGATGTTTCCCGGGAATCTGAGAATGTTTCCGAATGTTCTATGGTCTACTGTGGTAATAATATAGTGTAAAGCGTATAGAGCTTGCTGTTCAGCGGGGGGTATGCGCTATTCAAATGCTATTTTTTACTATTATTATTATTATTATTATTATTATTATTATTAATTTTTGTTATGCTACTGATGTATGTTGAATGTTTTATTATGAATAGAAGTGTACAAAGTTATTCCAGTAAGCCCCTTGAATGTTCTACATATGACTAGAAGTGTTTATGTGTGGGGGGGGGGGGGGGGCACTTTGGGAGCGGGTGTTGCAACATAATAAGCTCATGTTAGTGCTATTCTGCTAAAGATACTTACCGGAATCTTACACATCGTGAACTCTCTCCCTGCTCAACTCTACGCACCTGAGGAATAAAAATAAAAATACAATTATAAATTACAGTTTTACTTGTTCCAGAAGGGCACTTTGGTTTACAATGGCAAAAATACATATACATACATAAATAGGGCCTACATAATTGTAAACACGTACATACATAAATACATGCATAAATACATACATAAATACACAATATTACATAAATACAGAAAAGTTTACAACAATGCCACTGTCGGTCGCCACTGTGCAGCGCCTTGTATTTTCAGCTGGGGTTGTCGTGTCTTGTGACTTGTGACCATCC